ATATATAATATTAACTGACTGTTAATGATGGTTAGCAGCTATCAGTGGAATCCAGGATGTGCATTTCATCCCATTTAATACTCATCAGCTTGATTTACCTGCCTCCTGGTAAGTGGGGTTGTTCCCCTCCCCCTCCCCAAGATCCGAACCTAGAACCAATCGCTTCAAACGTTAGGAGTCACCTACTGGGCCACTGAGTTACGACAACCACTCGTTGTGCTATGACATCGAAAACTAAGGACTTACTGTCATAAACTCAAAATTAAACAGAATGGATACATAACTGTAGAACCTGAAGCAGAAGAAGAAGTTACTGAAAAAAACATTCTTTGTTCATCAAAATATGTTTTAAAATCACCATCCGAATGGCAAAATTGATTAGTGATTGGCAATAATTTGTCCTTGCCTAAGGTTCTGTACTGATTACTTGGTGCTCAACAAGCATCTGACTGACCAGGGATGATTGTTTTTGAGGAGAATGAACAGGTGGTGTTTGATGAAGGGATAAAGACTATTGATGACGGCCTAATGCCGATTCTGTTAAGAAAACTATCAAACAAAGAATTTGATGCTGCGGTTGTCCTCATCAGTGAGTCAGGAGTTCTCAAATGTTTACTCGTAATATGAAAAGGATAGTGAAGGTGTTGAGGATTGATTACCACTGCAAACATCTGAATATATTATGGGTGATGGTGGTTAGTGTCATCAAAGATGAATTCGATCCTTGATTAAGTTGTGATGACGAGGTTCCTTTTGTTACCGTCATCATCGCTGCTCATTGACGTCGACGATGATTAATACACATATAGTCAAAATATTTGATCAAATATACCTCACTGTTGGATGATATGTCCAAAATGGATTTTGTTCTACTAAACGTTGATATGCTACAAAATTACCTTCTGTCAACAGTTTAAGACCACAACAGTTTGACGTTTCCATTTAATTCTAATCCGAATATTAAAGGAAAAAGCCAAGAGCACATTATCAACAGCTATATATGATATGTATTGCTTGAACTAGAAATCAACATCTTAGTTATTCAACCAAAAGAGTAGAATTTTCTGAGTTTCAACTTTTGACTGATGCTGCCTTGTGGTCAGAATAATCTTATTGGACAGTTTTGCCTTTGAGTGGACCAATCAGAATGAAGTAGCCATTCAATTTATACAGTATCTCAGCTTACTACCTATCCAATTAGATCCACGTATTTGTTACTTCACGAGATGAGTAACTTAACAAAGGAATGAAACTTTTCAGCCATTTATTCACTTTATACTATACAAAATTTTATAAGGATTTACTAGAGGATAAAAAATTTCGCCAGGATGTAAGAGTACGCATTATCTTTATGTGTACTTTTCGAAATTTAATCTGTGAATCAGAATTAACAAGTTCATAAACCCACACATTCATTACAGTTCAAGAGTTATTAATAGTGCAATGCATCACATATATGGAATCGAGTAAAATATTGTCAGGTCTAGCAATAAATGCATTACATAAGATGGTTTAAATTATTCAAATTCTGTCAATTCACGATACAGTGTAACCATCAGTGATTGCCATCACTAAACTTGGTTAACACAAAACGTCACACTTTCTATTCGAACTCCGGACACTGAATGATGAGCAGTCTGAAACCAAAATGAAACAGCTATCCAGAACATTCTGGTTACTAAAAGTTCTATTATTATTACTATTTATCCTTTGGGTTCCTGGTGGAACATACGGCTTTAGTACTAGTGTACTAGTGTACTCTATTCCCTGCAATCTTTTGGACATGGCTCCATGAAAGCCCACAAGCTCTCATTTCTTCTTCACACGCTTGTAGTTGTCGTCTGTCTGACAATGTTGGAGTAGATTATTGACTCTCCTCTCCAGTTAACAGTTCGGAGAGTCCACTTCCATCCCATCTAACTTCTCAGATTCCTTGCAGATTCCCAGACTAGCACTTCTATGCCATACCTCCTCATCTCTCTGACAATCTGGGCAGCCTTGCTAGCCAGCCAGCCAGCCAGCCAGCCAGCTTCAAACATTGTTCAGACATTCCATGTCTCCATCCTAACTTTCGTTTCCATCGAGAGGAGAGAAGACACATTGGTCAGTTGGCTTCCCGAATGCTTTCACCAACTGGCGTCATTTCGTCCCCGCGATTCCAGTGAGGAATAAGTTTATTTATATTTGTTATATTTCCCTTTTGCGCTTTGAAGTTTGTTTGGCGGTTGAATTCGTTTTACGGTGTGAGGTTGGTAGCCGTATGCCCAAGCTTCCCTCTTTACCCATGCTTAGGACGGGCTACTAACTAGTGAACTGGTTAACCAGGCGAGGTTCGGCAGCTCTATAGCTGATATCAATTTACGATTAAAGCTGTGGTGAAATCGGTCAGTTCCCTCACAAATCGACTAACTCAATATTTTATGTTCTACGACTTAATTTAGACTAGTAATTTAACTTCGTCTTAATATTTGAATATCTCAAAGTTCATTTCTTATGAAATCTTGTTGTAACTTTCATCAAAGAGACTTTTCCTTTCACTGTTGAGAATTTATCGAGTTAACTCTATCTTCTTATACTCTTCCATTTTAATAAGCTGATGATTTGATGTGTAACGAGTGTTAATTCCGTTGTCAATGGATGTTCAAACTGTTAATCTAGGTATTTATTAGAATGCGTTAACTTTCGAAAATTATTAATCTTTATTTAATTGCTCCACTGTCTTTCCATCGTACAGTTCATAAAAGCTAGAGCTCCTGAATTAAATTCACTCACCTTATTGAATTGATTACTTTTCGATCAACTATTTATTTGTCATAAAGCTTTCATCCAAACTGTCATATTTAATGATAATAAATGTATCGTCTATGAACCTATATGAAATTCTCAGTGGATTGAAGCATTTCAAAGTGGCATTAGCCTCTAATGAATGGCTATAAAAATTACTATTAGAGAAACTAAGAACCCCACTACAGGTTTCAACATTGTCATACTTAGCTAGGTGTAAGAACACAGGATTTGTGTGTTATTCAGAAAATTGTATTGTTGGCCAACCTCACATCTCCAATACCCGCACATTAGAGAGTGACATGCATATATTCTTATTATATCATTTGAATAGGCTTTCTGTAGTGGCTAGACAAGTTATTCGATTGGTTACGTCATCAAACGCTTACCTCTGATGCTGCAATGATTTCACGAGACCCAAATGTATACACAGTTCAAGACTCAAGGTTTGGGATTGCATTTCAGGTGAAGAGTTACTAGCTGACATTTACAATTTAGATGATGGAGATTACTCTTTTATCTTTGCACAAATCACAACCGAGCTTCAGGGATTACCAATTTGTGGTACAGTATTGTCAACGAGCATTTTGACATTCTTCTTAGACACATGCCCATAGCCTTCTTCTCACGGAAGTAAGCCTTTCTATTAGACCAAACTAGTGGTGTCACAATGGAACCTGTTTAGGAGCTCCATTTCGTGTTTTTCTCCTTTCAATTCTGATAATGTTCAACTCATGTCATCTGAATTGCGATTTCACACTAGAAAATGAGGAAACTGATACTTTCAGGATTATACACATCTTCTTTGTGAAAAGGACTGATGAACGTACATAGAGGTTCACGTAAAGCAAGCTATTCAGGAAGTGTCAGTGTTTGCACTCTCAAAACTTTGTTATAATCCAATACAACAATGGTCTACTCAGAACTCTGTTTCATAGAACTTTTGGTCTGTTAACGCGATCAAATATAAATGAATGGACTGAAATCAAAGTCTGTCAGAATAGGAAAACGAGGTAGATTCATCAACAAGTGCGCTAGAAATGTAAGAGGTGAACCAGCTGCCTTTATGCATATATATATATATATATATATATATATATATATATATCAATCTTCTGTTAAAGCGAGAAAATGTTGACGATATTAGGGGATCGATGTTCGACAGGGTCATAAATGGAACTTACTGTCTCACAATACGCAAACTTGACTTCATCAAACGGGTACCGCAAAAATTTGGGAAAGACAAGAACTACCTGTCTTAAATATTTCTACTGCATGTGTCAATCAGAATGAGTTCATGAAAGAATATACCTAGGTCGTATGTCACAGCAGCCGTCTACTGATGTGATTTAGCTCTTGCCTAGAACGGTAAACTGTTTCGAAGTTAAGGTTCTAAGGTGTTCTATGATGAAGCATCCTTAGGGATATGTGGATGACACTGACTGTCTCATATCATTCTAAAAACTGCCAACAAATCTCCCCCGAGTCTCCCTAACTCACCACACTTCAACCTTCAATATATGATGAGTCAACTACGACAACCAACGGAACTCTTACAAGAATTAAGTTGGACAAGCTGAATATAGAAACTAAATAAAATCTTATACAAACGAATCAGTAATATCTCTTAAGACAATGAATGCAAAGGCAGAGTTGTACGATGTTTCTCACCCCATTCACATATTCTTCTTGATATTTGATAATTCCAATGAGATTCAACCTCCGAATTAACGAGAGCAAACCAAATGAGCACATGTGGTTATCATGAGTTACCAACAAATATCTATCTTCTGAATTAAATTCTTCCGATCCAGAAAGTTACGAGCTGCCTGAGATTTCGCAAACTAACTTGTCAAATTAGAATAACTTCGAAGTACTCTATGTAAATCAGTCCACACATCCATTGCCCTATGACATGCGAAATACGGACTGTGATATTGCACTTTAATTTCTAACCACAGCAAGAATATGCTGTGTACCTACCTGGTCAATAATATTTTCTCGACCAACTAGGTAAGATAAATGAATACTGAGATTAGCGAGCCAATGACCGAGTATTGGTTTCTCGGAATGCACTCACCGCTATTAAACATTACTCCTACTGCAACTCTCCACCTGACTAACAAATGGTAAGCAATGGTAGCAATATCACCAACGACAAAGATAAGAATAGACAATCAAAAGATTATAAAACCATTAAAAAGTAGGCCTCTCATTTTTCATATATAATTCAACTTTATTTATCAAAAATTTTCAATCAACAGCTAGTAAACACAATCCGAATTCAACATCAACTCAGAAAACCAGCAAATCCCATTATTCGATCCGTTTGTAAAAGCGTTTCGCCACTGAAAAAATAGGTTACAATCAGTTACTGATTAAATGGTCACCTACAAATTGTCGCCACATTTGCGACTTTGTTGCCCAGTTCATCTTCAGCCAAATACTTCCTTATCTCCTCACTTATCTTTGCATTGATTTTCCAAATTGTTTGCCAGAATTCTCTCCATGCAGCCACCTAAATCAAGTAAGAGCTGAGTAATTTTCAATGTATGAAACTCACTTGTGATGTGGTTCCGTTTAACTCCTGGTGGTTATGCGCAAAACTGTGGATGGAATAGAAAATAGACGATGAATGAGGTATTGAGTAAAGAGGAGGAGCTGTACCGCAGCCCAGTGAAACACAACACATATACTGTAATCGACACACTTGGTTCACACATTCATGAAAAAAGCTTATAGAATTTCTTATCTTGAATGTTCCCCTTATCGTTTGTTTGCGGCCATGGGGACGTTGAACAGGTTTATGGAAATAGATTATTACACTAAATGCTAACATGCTTCACTTACCATGTACATAAACGAAAAGGAAAATGAACTATGCATGTCAAATATCTGAGAATAGATTATATAGTTGACGAGAGACTGCTCAGATGGAAGTTTTGAAGTCTATCTGAGTCCATGTCAGTTTTATGTCGATTAGTAACACGAGCTTGTGAAGCTGAATAGTCGCCATACTATTAACAAACCACTGGATACAGTGCATATTGTCTTCCGAGAATGATATTTATTCTCTCCACAAATATTCTCAGGTATCCAGAATCCCGTCCATTTGCTTTTCTATCTTTTCGTGATTGCATTTTTGTGTGAAAGCGAACACTTCTTCCTGAAATTGAGCAAACAGTTGACGGGTACTCAATTGACGCGTATGTAACCCTATTAACATGCTGCACATGCTGTCTCCATATTGCCATGGCCGAAACAACCAGTTTTAGGAGCAAGTACACACGATGACTACTCTTCCGCATTTTAATCGTAATCGATCACCAATCAAGCTGGGTCAGTTACTCCCTTACAAAATATTGTCATTAACAAATGTTTGCATACACTAGTATGTCTAAATATTACGCCAACCAGTTCAGAAAATAAAAACAAATCTTCTCTGGTAGTCTCACTGTTTACTCCAAGGTTTCTTCAGCAGAATTTTCTCAGTTATGTTAAAGATAAAAATAAATATAGTCAAATGGTACGGAGAATAATTCTTCCGTGGCAATCATTGGTTTACTGACTCGTTGTTTGCAAAAATCTTGTTTTAATCTTCTCAACACGCAGCAGTTATATCAAAAGTTGATTTCAGAAAGATTATTCAGACACCTTGGTCAAATTATCGGAGGACATTCAAAACAACTATGGGTTGGATATTCCAACATTTATATACATGCAGAGAGAGATAAACATAACTCACGTAGTTTGGATGGTTAACAAACAAACGACCAGGGAAACAATGAAGAATGATTGCATTCTGAGTCAATGAGTTCCTTCCTATCTACTGAAAACAAGCGAATCTTTGCCTTTTATACATTTTCATCTATGTACACTGTCCATTCAGTGCTCATTTGTGCAATGAACGTGTGTGCGTGCATACTTGTACGTGTGTGTGTGTGCATCGCATATACAAACGCATATGCACGTTCATGCACGCCATTGGCATTCATTGGTTTTCTTTGTGTAAACCTATTCCGTTTGTTCATCACCTTGTCAAAAACAATCCACGAACATACACACACATACACACATACACACACAACGAATAGTCGACTAACCCGGTGTCTAAACGTGGTTCGACACACCGTTTCGTCACATTCGTCCTTCTTCATGTACCACACAAATTCCCCAATGTTTGAAAGAGATTATGCAGTCGTTGATGTATCTTTGATATTTCCACTTTATCACACATCTGACCAGAAGTAGCTCGACTGGCTAACAATCACAGTGGCATGCTAGTTGTATTAATCCCATAGTGGTTCTCTAAGTATTCAATACTTCCAGAGTGGCTAATCGGTGGTAAATTGTGGAAAACATGGTTCAGTTTACTTACTGAATGGAAGGAGTATCCGACTTATCGTTTCACACTGACGACCACAGTGGTGTCACTCAGTTAAATATGCATGCCCATTTTATCTTTGACTATGTTTTAGCAGCTGTCAATGTGTGTGAATAGGGAGACACTTCCCTGTGCACCGTCTGCAGGGTTAAATGGGGGGCACCCACCTTTGTTTGTGTGTCAGTTCACGTTTGTCTCATCAGCTCTCCATACGGTGATGATCATCGATGTTAGTTTTCTATCAATCTGTCTCACATTCAGCAAACGTCATGCTTCTTCTTCTTTAAAGTTTAGTGGTATCACGGGGCCGTTGGAGATCATCACAATTTGTATACATCGAATCCCTCTAAACTTATTTAGATGAATGCCCTGCACCCATCATATCTCTTGAACAGTTTTTGTATTCGATAATTTCACGGTGAATCCACCTTTTCCTGGTTACTTTCCTTTGATCCATTGCAGCATTCTCACTAACTGATTATCATTACATTCCCGTGATCTCTCCTTTCGAAGGTGTTTACACTCGTTCGCCGTCACCGTGTCGCCAGTTTATCCCCGAAATCTATTCCCACATTCCCTTCTGCATCATGTGGACAACAATGATTATCCCTGTCTTTTCTGAATCTTATTTCAAAATTATTCTCAGATATTTATTCATCCTCACACCTCCGGGTTTGCACCTCCATGGCATATGCATGCATTTTCGCTTTCACATTCCAGCTGCATGATCTGTGGACGACATAACGTCTACCGTGTAAACGCATTATATTCATACATAGCTGAAAACGTTCATTTCATAATCCGTGAGACATCTTCAACTTGCATCTCACTAATCTCCATGTGGAAATGAGATTTCCTGGTTGACTGAATAAATTTAAAAATCCTGTCATATTTTATTTTCATATAATCCATAAGCCTGCTGAAAAATCTGTTTAAATAGCAAATGGATCACTCAATTAAAAGCTACTACAAATGGATCGAATGGTAACCAGAAGGAGCATAACTGCCTTCGGTAAGCTAAGGTGATCACCGAGTGTATTTCGTTGGGCATAACCAGTGAGTTTCGTAGGTCATTCCATCATGTGAACTGAAATCGCTCCCGTTTAATGCATCAGGGAGTTTGCTTATCCTTAAAGACTGAACATGAATATGGATAGAATCAAGTAATGTGGAAGGGAATTTATCGAATACGACATTCCACACCTCCTCATAGCCTGCACTGGCTTCTTCTCAACAATTTCCTGATGAATCTCCATATCACTAACCTCAGCTCAACTCACGTCACTAAATCGCTTTTACATGCGCTAACACTGTTCAGTATGTTCTTCGTGAACCAGGATATTGTCGCTCTTGCAATTTAGAGGCATTAAGTGGTTGGCAGTAGCATACTGCATTCTGAGTACCAAAGCAGTCATCATTCGTCCCACCAAGCCGAACTATTTGTGGTCGATGACTGAGCATTGAAGTGACAATCGTGGCCGAGTATTGTCATGAAAATCTGAAATGGAATATTATCAAAATAGTCCATTCACTAAACTTGAGTGTGTGTGGTTGAGAGGAGAGTGTGTAGCGTTGTGACCAAAGACCTAACCTTGGACAATATCACTCTGTCAGACTACGTGCCTGTAGGCAGTGTTATTCCTTCTTCAGTTAATTAGAAGACATAAACGAGACGAGGATTCAGTTTATAATGCACAGTCCTATCTAATATGTATTCAGACATTCTCAGACATTTGCCATAGTCCTCCTCTACATTTACCTATGATGTTCGCATTCAGTCGCCTAACATATCTAGGAAGAGGAGTTTGACTTGGGAATTCACCTACGCATTGTACATCACGCTTGAATTTATTATTCATTTCTTCTTTTCTGAACGGACCACAATGGACCGATTTCACGGTATGAATAACTTCTCAGTTGAAAAGTCTATATGATATCGATATACTATGTTCAGACAATTCTAACAGTCATCCGTCTATGAAGATGTTTATTTCGAGGCACCATGTAAGAGTTTATTTTCCTTCGAACATTACAGACTCTTGCATATTTCTCACACTTCACCATATCTTCTATTTAGTTGTATTCTCTAGTTGAGTCAAGGTGTGAAAGGAATAACTACGTTGTGGAGAAACTGTATACAATAGATATTATTCCTTCACTGTGTATACTATGTGTCGCCTGGTGACCTACATGACGCATCACTGAATATGTTGCTGGTAGGTCTACACACTTCTATTTACGTGTTTTATCTATCAGACAGTACTCTATAACTCTTGACTGAAACTGCTCAGTAGATGTGCTGCCCATAGCAAATATATTGGACTTGAAATGGAACGGGCTGGATGAAATGTCAACTGTGAAGTAAATTATGCAATAGACTAGACTGAACCAGTTAGTAGAACTGCACACCACTGGATTGTATAATTCAAAGTGACAGGAGGTTGAAAGCAAAAGGATTCCCGTCTAAATTATCTGTTATTCACAATAATTCTTAAGGATAAATTTACGAGTTTCAACTAAGGAGAAATGGATTTCCTAGTGATTGAATACATCAAGATGTTTAATATAAGCGTAAATCTTGAAACCTGTGGTGAAATTTAATTCCATTTAAGTTGAGTTATTAGATGTATTACACAGTGGAGCAGTATTATTTATTGGGTCACTTTTCGGACATAATTTATTATCCATAGTTATATCAAGATAACGATAAATCTTAAAAAAATGCTTGACATAGTTTTAATTTTCTCGCCTCCTTTGTGAAATGGGTAGTAGGATTTTCCATATATCCGAAATAGGTGCTGGGTCATTTCTGTTGTGTGTATTAGATGTTGATTCGGTAAGCAAAGATTCATTTGTCGATCTCTGTCTCCAGCCCTCTATGTTAGTTTCAAGGATTTTCACCTTATCCAGTCCTATTATGTGGTTGTGTTTAATTGTATACATAGCCATGGCCGAGCTGTTTTCCAAATTCCTTATCTGACTAAGTTAGATCTAGCAATTTTGACCTAGCTAGATTTTTGTGATCGGACCCCGATCAACTAATTTGACCTGTATATTTGAAATCGCAATGGGTGCAAGAGATTTTGTAAAGTAGATTATTCTGCTTAATTGGATTAGTGGGATCATTTAACCTACAAAGTCAATTTCAAAATGATGTTATTAGTTTGACCGTGGATAATAAATAATGTCCGAAATGTAATCAGGTAAATAATACTGTTCCATTGTGTGATACATCTAATAAACCAACTAAAATGAAACTTCATTATTTTAGTGAAAATTTCATGTTGAACTTACTTCCCTAGTGTACTGAACTCGAATTTTCACATCTTCACATGAAGACATACGTCGGCATAACGATGAAAATGAAGTAATGCACTAGGCACACATAGTGATGTGTGAAAATGTTGTGGTATATTAGGCATTTTGACAGCCTCTCAGACAGAAATGATAGAGAATATCCGCCCAATATATGAGTGCGACGTCCACGACTATTTCATATGATGATGTTTCAAGTCGACACATTGAACAGAAACACAAATTCCCTCTCAGTAATTTACACCAGAAATGCAAATCACATGAACAATCCGACCTCATCTCAACAAGGCATAACTTAAATTTTGGGGAACTTGTGGGGATTTAGAAATTTTTCAGGTTGATATTCATCGTAGACTGACATCAGTTGGGAAACCACTGGAAACCTGGGAGCACTAAACAGCTGTTTCGTCCTAGTACAGGACTCCTCAGCATTGCGCACCCACGACCCCACCAGAGATCGAACCTGCGATCTTCAGGTTTCGTGGTCAGTACGTTAGCAGGGAGCTACTGGGTCGGAACCCAATGGTCCACATTTCCAACTTCTTTTCTAGTCAATATTGAAGTTGAAAAGCATTCAGAGAAGCTCCCAGTTAGTTAGTATTCTGTGCTGCAACTCCCTCTCTTATTTGTAATATCATTTTTTTTGTCATCTTAACTTGGCAACATTGTAACATTGAAATCATTTCAGAATCATTTTTAAAAGATCGAGGTCATCCAAATGGTTTATTTGTTTATCTATCTTCAGTTTAATCCTGTCAGGTACAGTTTTATAAATTATATTATAATAAGGAATTTGTTTGTTTTTTGTCATCAATGCACTGGATTACTGCACGAGTTTTTGGTGTAAACATTGTACAAACCGTTTTAGAAAACAGTGTTTGTGCATTTGTGTGTATGTGTTTGACTGTTATTTGAACTTTGAGTTTTTATTTATTAATTTGCGCTCGAAGTTTCTGTGACAATCATGGCCACTTCAGATAATCAGTATTTTCGTTATTATTATGTGATTGTAGACCAGGGATGAGAATTTTCTTCACACACAACCTTCAATTTCTGGTGTACTTGTGATAAGGCATGTAAGTAATAAATCATTGAACGGGCTAGTAATTACAGTGGATGGTAGTTAGATGACTGATATTGGTTGGGAGACATT